TGATCCCCCCTCCCCTCCTAATAAAAATTCAAATGACAAGTGTCTAACAAAAAAGGCTACGAGTATCTATTCCACAATTTTTTGATCCCCCCCCTTTTTAGTGCACAAAAATGTTTCCCCCCCCCCTCCCTGCAAATAATGACCAGTCCCTAAACCCAAAAAACCCATTACAGGTAACCCAAGCAATGAAAACATAAAAAGTTTTTATATTTTTGAAATCGAAGTATTTTTCCTAATATATTTGCTGCTGAAATTTTCCATATTCCCGGGTACAAAATAATTTGTTTGCTTGTTTCTTGAGTATAAAAGTATAATTAGATAAAATCTATCATTTTGATGACGTATCTGGACGAGAAATAGAGGATATTACATGGGCGCGCGGAGATACGAATTTTATCTTCGAGTGTTCAATTGATATCTCACGAGTGAGCGCAGCGAACGAGTAAGATATCTAAATTGAACATGAGAAGATAAAATTCGTATCTCCGCGCGCCCATGTACTGTTCTGTTTATTATATAGATATCGATGAAACTTAAATAAAACAAAAGCTCAAAAATTCTTTATTAAAATAGCAAGCCGATTCAACAGCGATATCTTCACGTGTGAAAGATATGGTATCTTCCACTGGTGAAAGATATCAAGTTTTCGACACTAGAGAAAACCTGGTATTTCATCGATATCTATATAATAAATTATAATATTTATGCTCCCTCATGAAATCCACATCGCCGCATATGTACAAACGCGGTTGTACCTAAGTTTTTGCTTCAAAATGAAGTGCAAAAAGATTTGTACTGAAAAATCAACAAAAAAATTCAATTCGATTGCCATGGTTCTCTTAAACCTGCGATAATGATAGACAGACAGACAGACATATTTTATTTGGCGTTTTGTACATAGTTGCACATCAACTTAGCTCCAAATAAGTTACGAGTATATACGCATGTTTATGTTTACGCATAATATCTATATTCACATATTCTACACATACACGTCATACGTACATATATATTCTGTATATATAAATGTTCATATAATTATTTCGATAAAATGCGTTACTAATCCTAATTATCTTTATGTTGTTGCTTTTTTTTCACTACGCAGAGCAAAACAATTGTAAACGTATTTTGCTGCAGCTGGTTGTAAAATATGGGGAGGATCTATCAACTTCAGGAACAATTGGTCCTCCGTAAGGGAGTTACTTATGTTATTTTGCATAAAAAATTCTTCTCTAAGTTTGGAGTATAGAGGACATTTAATTAGGAAGTGTCTTTCATCTTCTATTATATGAGTACAATGAAAGCACTTCCTTTCCTCTACCTTCTTGTAACTAGAGTATCTGCCTCTTTCAATTTCTAGGTCATGGTTACTTATTCTTAGCTTAGTTAAGGCTCTTCTGTGATTGAATTTTTTTACATTTATTAAGTAACCTTCTAACATATAACTAACTTTGAAGAGGCGATACGTTCTTAATTTGTTCTTTTGGCCAGGGGTGTCCCTTTAATTCTCGTTTTGATAATAACAAAGACGTTTGGCTGGCGAGAGGTATTGAACTTACTTCTAGCCATATATCACCCAGCCCATTTTTTAATAATGACTCTTTTACTTTTTGGCTCCAGCAAATTTTACGGCTGGAGCTTATCATTTCTTTGTATGCTAAGAATGTATTTTATGGCTCGATGTAGGTGTAACTGGATTGAGCCAGTATCTTATGCATCTTAAGTTTGCAGCTACATGCAGACGGAGTCGACCTAGTTCTGCATAACAGGCAGAATTGGTTGCATATTTTCCCACTCCGAGTAACATTTTGCAAAATTTGGTATGAACAAGTTGTATAGGGTCATTTTTAGAAACCTCAGAACCCCAGACTTCACTGCCGTATAACAGAATAGGTTTTACTAGTGTGTCAAAAAGTTTCATGGTGAGATGAGGGCCATAGTGAAAAGAATGACCCATCTCCTTTTTCAGCTTAAATAAGGCTTTCAGAGCAGATATTTTGAGTTCCTGTTTTGCAATTGTGAAATTTCCGAAAGCACTAAATGTGAGGCCGAGGTATTTGTAAAGTTTAACATTTTCTAAAATTTTGTTTTGATAATAAAAAACATAATTACATAACCGCCTCCCTGAATTATTGAAAATAAGAATTTTAGTTTTCTCAATATTTGCATAGACCATCTGCGTTAGAGAATAGTTCAAGTTTATTCAAAAGGGCTTAAAGATCTGTATAGTTTTTACTGAATAAAATTAGATCATCAGCATAAAGAATACAATTTAATAGTGCATTATCGAAACAGATCGGATCATTTATATTTCTTTGTTTAAGAAAGTCTGGAAGGTCACTTAGGAAAAGATTGAATACAGTAGGACTTAACATACAACCTTGTTTCAATAACGAATCGCTTCTAATTTTCTAAAATGAAAAAGACCAATACACTTTGGAACCGGTTTTCATGCGTGCCAACCAGCAGAGATGGATTATTGGATGCTGACACAAAGGAAATTGTCACGACCTTTGAAAATGATTGACATATTAACATTACAATGGTTTTGTTAGTAAACATGAAGTATAACTTTAGATACGAAAGGAAAATGTATAGCTTGTATATCAAAGCACATGTAACCCGTTTTCTATTTACTCGGGCTACCTGTAAGGTAGGCCGAGTTTAGGTTTCGGTTTTGTATCAGTCTATCGTATGGTCGAGGTTTTACATGATGAATATGTATGCGATCGAGACAGTCATGAAAGCGAGTGCAAGTCATGTGACCTACATGTTGGGTMGGAGGTTTTCTTGCTCTCTGCTCCTCGTCGGTGGTTTGTTATGGCGAATTCCTTTTCTTCTGGGACACTCAAAATACACACAAACGCACACGCCGTTCGCGGTAGACCCACACTAAAAGATGTCGGGCGTTTTCGGAACGGGTCGGTCCGCGAACTCAAAGCAAAATGCCAAAAGAATGCCAAAGATACCAGAAAGATTACCAGAAATGTGAACTCAAATGAAACTCAAATGAACTCAAATGAAACTCAAATGGACAAACGTACAAACTTACTCAAACGTACTTAAACGAACAAACAATCACTAACTCTTTAGTAAGCAGGAACTTCATTGATAACTGCTTCGAAGATGATGGAGACAAAGAAAACATTCCATGTAAGCTGAAGATGGACGCCATATTGGAATCTTTCAAGACAACATTTCATGCCTTCCGCGAATCAACAAGCATTGTACTTACGCCATTTTCATCGAGGATAAGTTTTTTATGTATTCTTTTGTTTTTGTTCTCAATTTTGGACAGTTTCTTCAACATTCTATCGTTCGTTCAACTATTAGTAGCGAGCCTGTTGTGCATGATGTTGATTTTAATTGTACATTTCATAAATGAGTCAACTAAGAGTTTGGTATACTCTTTGGAAAATGACTGTGATTTATTGGAAAAGGCTGTACAGTTATCTGTATTTGTTGATCACAATAAACTATTATATTTATTAGA